CCAGCTGTGGTTTCTGCTCCTGTTCTGCGCTGGAAGCTTCTCACTGATCTGTGTCTCCTGATGGGTTCTAGAACTGGGCTCTSCACCATGTTGTGCTGCCCACATACTCAGCTCTCCAGGAAAAGCCTCAGGAGATGGGAATAGGAAGGAAATAGAAACATGAGCAGAGCAGATGAAATTAGAGATGGTGCCAAGTAAACAGCTGCATGAAGTCACACTGTAGACTGATGGCCTTTCTGCTTCAGATGGACATGTCACAAGGGAATCTGTGAGGCACAGAGAGGCAGAGATGCTATATTGATGTCAAGTGTTCRGAATTTCACTTGTTATCATATTTGATGGGGAACAGATAGGTTTGCAAATTGTATTTCTRAGTAATATATCTTCATAGACTGAGAAATTTAGGTGGAAAATAACTTTAGAAACAAAGAATTATATTGTGGACACTTCTTACTTTATTATTGGAAAGAGTTGTCAGATATGCTGAACTTAAGGTAATCTTTGAACAACTCAAATATTGTTTCCCAGAGAGCATAAATTATCATATATTTAATTATTATGGTAAATGTAGTAATTATAATTTCGGAAATTCCTTTAGTCTTTTTTTCCTGAATGTAGCACATTAATATCTTGGGGAATAATATTTTCAAATKTGGAAGAATCTGAAACTAAAATTGTGTACATTTCTGATCCTATGGCCATTGCTATATTTTCATTGCTTTGAGTGGCATAGTGTAGGTCTGAACCCTTGTATCCCTCAGAAAAATGTGTTTGTAACTGAAAAGAATTTGGGAGCAAGAGAAATGCCATGTAAAGTTCTGTGGAAAAATAATGCTTTAATTTAAAATACTCRTGGCTACCAGAGTTCCTCAGTATTTATACTTGAAAGGTATGTGACATATTTCTCCTCCAGGCAAAATGTGACAAAARTATTAGATGTGAGCTCTGGTGACCATGTTTATATCAAAGGCAGTAGTGGCCCACCTCAACCTTTGGTTCTTGTGCCCTTGTGATAATTTTTCCATTTGGCTTAGGAATTAGGTTAAGTGACTTAATTTCTCTGATCTTCAAGGTCCCTGGAGTAAAGTGGACATAATGTGTCTTAACTTTGACAGAAGTGTGAAATGTATAGGTTCTTGGTACTACTAAAGGTATTTCATATCTCAGTTTTCCATTCCCCAAGAAAAAAAGATATCCTATATTCATTTGTGATGATTCATATTGAATTTAACTACACATCAATAAATCACAAAATGCCTAATTCTTCTCAAAATTCTTTGCAGAGGGTTATAAACTGATGTTTACCTCGAGAATGGTAAGCATGTAAGAGCTGTATTTATATAACTTCTTTTACAAATATAAGTAACTTTTACTGATTGGCTAAAAAGTTTCCATGCAGTAAGAATTCAATTCTTCAGTCTTAACCTTCTAGTTATACCTCTTCCCAGTGTGGATCTCCATAAAAATAATAAGCTGTGTTGTCATTGCTGTGCCTCTTGTCAGTAACTCCTGCTTGGTCAAGTGTGTATTCATCAAAGTTCTTGTCTTGCTGGTGTGTGACAACTGCAGCATTGTGGTGGCTTMTCTCAGATAATGCAGCTATCTTGAACTCCCACGTATGAGAAAAAAATACAGCTGGAGCCCTTTGAAGAACCCTTATAAAATGTGTTTCTAATTAGAYACATATAACAGAGAGTGTCAGAGGGATTTGTTCATTGTCACAGACCTTCGGAGCTGATTTTCTTCAATGATTTGCTGAAGCACATAGAAAACAAGAGGCATTTATGATTTCACGTGATGCAGAGATAAGAGATGTGCTAGACCTGAAGCATCTGAAATGAGAAGCAATGAAAAGCAGAAATATCCTAGTATTTCARGATAACTAAACTCAGTGTTTATCCACAGAATTCAGGCAACAAGCACTGCATATAACATTTCAAAAGGAACACACTTTTAAAAGACATTTTAGCCTTATCTAGTCCAATAACAAGAGATGCTTGCTAAAACAGAGTATGTAAATGACAGATAAATTGTTCAGTTTTTTGGTGATAAACTTGACAGTGAAAAAGAAAAGTTTTGCTTCTTCATGTAACAGGGCTTTCTGCTGGTACAAACAGCTCCAAAGTTCCTTGGAATTTTCTGTTGAATGTGCTGTGCATGATGAGCTTTTTAATCAACTGYTGCTTACATGTGATGGGACAAGTTGTGCTATGAATATCCAGCCTAATTAAACCAAGTTTCCAGTGTCTGTCTGCTGCAATTATTCCCCTTCATATTGACTGATGAACAATGATCATGTAAGTCTTTCTCTGTATAAGGACTTAATAGTGTATTTTCCCATTTGTATGCCTATTTTCCTGAAACTTTTGTGGACAAAATATTATTGAATCTTCTTGTATTCTTTTGTCCAGTTTGCTTAAAATTGTTCTGGACCACAAAAAGATCTTTCAGGGGAACATGTATTCTGCTTTGGTACCTTTTCTTCGAGAAACCAGTCTAAATGAAGTATTTAGAATTTCTTTAGAAAGAAATGTGGTTGTCTTCATGTGTCAGGATTTTATTAACTACAGAATATAATAACTTTTATTAACTACAGAATATATAACATTACACTATTACAACAATTGGCAAACTGCAACAAGTTAAAATGCTGCAAATTTGGTTGAAAAAGCCAATTTAAAGTTATTGAATCTAAATTAATGTTTCCTTCTTTTGATTTGGAGTTGTAAAGCTCCATGTTACATGTGGGGTGGGGTATATTGTAAGAAAGCTGCAGGAAAATTAAATGCTCCATATGTTTAGTCCCAAAGTTTTATTTTTAAAAAAAAATTGAGTTTGAGAGTATCCAGCTGAACTAAGGTCCTATTTTCCTACGTTTTATTAGCAGCTTGCCCTCAAAGCATAGACAGGGATTAGCAAGGCCATCCCTGGAGATATTTAGACCTCAGCTGGAAAAATCTCTGCAAAACTTGATCCATGCTGGTTGTGCTTTGAGCAGAGATTGGACCAGGTGACCTCCAGAGAGTCCTCCTGACCTAAATAAATCTGTCATCTGTGACCAGGAAGAGCTGACCTATAAATTATATGTATTCTGTATGCTTTAAATTACCTGAAATTACTTCTGTATAAAGCAATTCAAGCATTTAAAGCTGTGTTAGCTTCCATTAAATAAAAACTATTTTTATCATAACTTTTTAAAATCTGAGCATGGTCCTGTTTATAGCTAGGATTGCTGGAAATCATTTTATCTTTAAAAATAACAAATTAGAGCAGGTCTAAATTTTGGTCATATTGGATACAGCCCCACTTTAGGTCCTGGGAAATGACAGAGCTGTTTTATTCTCGCAGTATCTAGAAGATGAGGTTGAAAATTGCRTGTTGAATAATAGACATTGTAATACAGAAAAGCACTTGCAAGAGAAATGCGAGAAGAATCCTTCACTGGTTTTACTGAATGTAGAGAAAGAGATTGTYGTTCATGACAAACAATAGTTTCTCATGTATTATTTGTATGAAACGTATAGTATACAGCCCAAAATATTGTCTGCTTATTCAGAATACAAACACATGGAGGTGTGCAGAAAATAGTGTTTCCTGGTTTGGTAAAGGAGCTACCAAAATTTAATCAGTATGGTTTGGAGAAAAGGCTACAAGACATGAAGAGTAAATCTGCAAATACTTGTGAGAAGGGGGGTGGTGKTATAAAAGGAGAAAGGAGATCTCAGCTGTAACAGGTAGGGAATGGTGTCCTACTGCTGTCATRCACTGTGCCTTGTGGAATGACATTAGCAAACATGCAGAATTGAATTGTGAACTAGAGGATGTTTACAACAGCCATTAGAAACACATCTGAAGATCCTGAAGTTTGTAAGATGATGGAATAATTAGTCAAGGGAAGTTCTTAAGTGCAAACAATAGATAAGAGTATCAACAGCAGGTCGAACTTTATTATATGAGATCCTCCACTATCACAGCAGGGAAATGTGGTTTCCAGTCCTAGCACATAAGGCCCCATGAATACAAAACAGAAGCAGAATAGAGGAGAGAAAACTTGTACTCCATTACTAACAGAAGATACATGAATAAGATATTTGGCAACTCCCAGTGAACAGATATTTCTTAAACATGAATGCTTTTCCTTTACATGGTATGACAAAATTTAAAAAAAACCAAAAACAAAAAAAAACAAAAAAACCAAAAACAACCAAAAAAAAAACAAAACAAAAGAAAAACAAAGAAACTGTCAGTTTAAAATGCAGTCTGCATCTTGAAGGTGTTGAATAATTATGAACCATGCTTTGGAAGGTCACAAAATATTCTGATAGAGTCAGCTTTGTCACAAACAAATCCCCCCGTATTTTGTAGAAATACTGCAAAATGATAGATATATAGGTAGATAGATAGATGATAGATAGATAGATAAATAGATAGATAGATAGATAGATAGATAGATAGATAGATAGATAGATAGATAGATAGATAGATAGATAGATACATAGATAGATACATAGATAGATACATAGATAGACATTTTCTTCAGGGTATATTGGCTTATTGAGGTTTGGTTCAGGTTTGTTTTATTGAGACTAAATCTGAAGTATTGAAAAATTCAGTGCTGGTACAATTAGGCCGTTATTTAATAAGTTATATTTGAATGATCAGCTCTGCACTTCTAACATATAATTGATATTATATACCACTCTATTGTTGTATTACAGCTTTGAACCAAAAGGGAGAGATACAGATTAGTCTCAAATGTYAGACCTATCAATGTTTCCTGAGATGCAGATTTTCTGGTATGACTGAGTACTCACTGGGTCACTCTAGGCTGTGTCAGGGAAAGGGAAGAATTTATTTGTGGTTCTTTCTTATGTGTRACATTTTTATTCATAAGCACCGTASTTATAATCTGGTTTTGTCTTGGATTGAACTAATGAAGTAAGTTTAACTCAATTGAGAGTGAAATTGTTAATGTAGTATTTCTCTCTTCCTCCCTGCAGTATGCTGTGTGGCTGGTCCTTTGGGTTACATGGAACGTGTTTGTTATCTGCTTCTATTTGGAGGCTGGAGACCTTTCAAAGGTAATTTGCCAATGGATACATTTAAACCATCAACTCTTTGCTAACATGCCCCAGGCTGTGCTCTTTTACTCAATCTTTTAGTGTTACCACAATGGAGTTTGTTGTATGATGGAAATATGGATTGTTCTGTGTTATGTTAAAAACTTTTAAACTAGACAATAATGAGCATATACATTCTGATGCCCACAACAATAATTGYATATATTCTTTAAAAGAAAATTACCCCTTTTTGTCCCCCTCAGTAGTCCTGCAGTGMAAATTTCACCCCTGTGAGAGCCATTAATTAATAATTTAATGAATACAAAACATTGCCATCTCAGGGGCAAATAGATATTTTTTGTACCATTTATCTTACTGTTACTTAGTTGAATTCCTTTCAGGAGTCTTGTACAAAGTATAATAATTGTAAAAGAATGGGTCTGTCGTTAAATTTCAATTTAAACTACGGTGCCATTTGGCTTCGTCAGTGTTTTTTAAATTTGTGCTTCTGGTAGGATTGTTATGTTTGAACACTTATACACAGTAAAAATTCATAGGAAAGATATATTTTCCTAAGAAGGATATACTTCTGGAGTTTCACTGAGAATGCAGTAATGCATAAAGTGGCAGTTGGTAATGACCTCAAACCGACATTTCAAACCAAAATTCCTGCTTCTAAGGTGTTCCTGGAAAGTTGTCAATTTGTGGGATAAAAGATTAGCAGTGGCAAAAAATATTTTGTTCGGGTAATATGCTTCAACTGAGTCTAGATATTGCTGAATTATGCTCACAGCACTGGGATCTGACCATCAAGGAGATTCCCACGTGCCAAACATACCACATTCTTTTCTTGAGTCAGATTTTAATTTTAGCTCCTGATTATAGGGATTGTAGGCCAACTGTAAATTACAGATGTAATCCTCTGATCCTGTGTGAGTTACTGATACCTTATTATGCAGAAGGTTAAACACAATTATAGGAAGAATAAATGAGGCGAAGATGCTTCCTTACCTGTTGTTTCTTTCAAATCACCACCCCAAAGTACAAAAACTACTAGAGACAAGGTATTTCATCCCCATGCATTCTGTTTCTTYAAAAGATGCTGACTTCAAAAGGATCAGAATTTCATTTCCTGAGGGTGTAAGATAATTTTCTGCAGGTGTTACTCTTTCCTGGTTTTATACCTTCAGACTGGCCCAATCTCATTAAAAGCTTGGCAAAAACATAGCAAATAAAAAGCATATATTATCTTTTATTTGCTCAAAATCCTTTCTTTGTTGCCAGAAGAACTMATGTATATAACAAACCCAGCACCTGTTGTATAGTTGTACTCAACCAAATCCACCCTCTTTCCACCTGCTTGTTTCAGCCACCTGCATTCCTAAACTTGTAAATGTTGGGATGCCTATCTTGCATGGGGAAGTGAACGGGGGTGGGAAAAAATGGAAAAAGGAAAAGTGGCTGTTTGAGCACTGGGCATAAAACCAGCATAAGAGCACCAGTAAGTGGTGGTTGGAATAAAAATGGGCCACAAAATGTATCTAAACATTGAAATATTTTTTTCTGAAGTCTAGAAATTGTCATATGGAGTGTTTCCCAACAACCATTGAATTCAGGTCTATATTTGAATGCAGTTTAATTTTTTATTTGGTCTTTGGAGGTATTATTTGTTCCAGTGATATGATCTGCCTTGAAATACCCAATTGAGTACATTCCTTTCACTTYAATTGGCTTTCAGAGCACCAGAATCAGTAAAGAGCGGGAGATAAGGAAAAGTTCCTAGAAAATGGATTTAAGAAAACTGGTAGAGATGGACTCATTATTGACAAAAGATCTAATTCACATGTGGGGCATCACTCTCCTGTCCTTTTCAGCTCAAATGGTATATCAAAACTTCCCCACACGGGAAATATTCTGTATGATCTAGTGCTTGGAAATATGTATAGAATGGAAAGATGCCCAATTGTTTGGGTGGATGTAATTTAGCATCCTGTTCTAGATCCTTCAGAAATTCTGGTTGTTTTACAGATACAGATATCTTACAAAAGAAATAATTTCAAGTGTTATTTTCTCAGGCATATTCATAAATCTTGCAATGAATCTTCTTTATTATTTCTATTTTCTTCTGKAAATAATTGTAATTTTAAATCTGTGGTAATAAACCTGCATATTTTCTGTTTGGCATGGCACATAGAACCTTGAGAAAAGTTCTGGGTCTGAATTGGTTCTAAATAGAGAATAAAAAATAACCTTTTGCCAAGTACCAGAGGGATGCCTCTGAGGCTGTGAACCAGAAGAGAGGATCCTGTGCAGCATGGCTTTAAGAATTGATGGGTTAAAATTACAGCCTAATAATAGTTCAGATGGGTATAGTTTATTTTATTTGTATCATTTATAGTTTGCTACCAAATAAAATAGAAATGAGGCACATTTTTTTCAGAGTTTGGAAAAGCTTTTATTCAATGTGTACACACAACAATTTTTTCCATCATCACCTGCTGATACAAATGGAGAGGACACATTTGAATTGTTAATATATTTATTTTAGCTGTGGGAGTGGAGGTCATAACCTTTTACAGCTTCCCCTTACTATACTGAAACAGGCCTGTAAAGACTCAGAAATTTTTAGAACAATGACATAATCTTCTCTAAAGAGACTGAGGAAATTCAAGGACTATTGGTGAACATCCATGGAAATCTGTTTGCATTATACGTCTTTATAAGCATAGATATCTTGTGGGAAATGGCATCACACTAAGCATTTTCTGTCCTTGAGGCACAGTTATCTTTGCTGAAACTCTTTCACAGAAAGCTGGAATAGTTATTGCTTTGTACGAAAAGGTTTGTAACAAAAAGGAAGTACAATCACTTGTTCTTAACCTTGATTTTTATGTGTATTTGTGAATGAATGCCTAGAAAACCCACTTTTCAGACTTACTTTTCAGTATTATTCCTCACAAATATATAATTAGTCTGTGTGTTGTTTTGCTTGCTGGTGAGTGACATACTCTCTATAAGTAGCACATTAAGGTTTCAGGACTGGTAATACTTATTTGGGCCTGTGGCTAAGCAAATGTAGCATATGAAAAGCATAACCTCTTATCTTGAATGAGGCACATCTGAAGTGAAACACTCGTRAAACAAAACAGAAAAGAAGGAAAACATAAGAGAAAGCATTTCTGAGAAAACACAATATTTCTGTGATTTTTTTTTTTTAAACACACGAAAGGACACAAGGAGATACCTTCAGCTATCTCAGAGCAAAAACAAAAAWTCATCATTTGATTAAGAAGAGAGCTCTTGATTCAAGGCATTTGAAATCTTACCCTATTGATATCTAATGATACCACAAGCAGAACAGAAGCAGAATAAGAATTGTCACACTCCCATTTCTAGTTTGAAAATGAATTTTTTTTTTTTTTTTTCTGAAAGAAACATTGCCTGAGAATGCACTGGTCTCATGTCAAGCATGGCAGTGGATTTGCTGTTGCTGTCAGTTGCTGGGACTCAGGGCAGAGGCTGAGTTTGGGGTGCTGAAAAAGGGGGACCAGCTGGGGATCAGGGTCCAAAGCAGCCCTTGCAGCACATCATCCCATCCTTGAGTCAGCTCCTTTGGTTCTCTTTGCATGCAGCCCTGTCCGTGTGACCAGACCCAAGAGCTCTCCTCTCACTGTCACCTGACTGAGCTCTGAGTCACTTTACTGTCATCCCAGAGTATTTTGTAAATATGACCAAGAGCACACTTCTGAAAAGCTCATTTTAGCTGTCAAAATTGACTTACTTTCTATTTGTGTGACATTCTTGACATCTTCCTTATTTAAACCTATTAACATAGAAAAGTTGCATTTCATATATTAAATCATGAGGTTGTACTTCTATATTTTTTATACAAAAATTAGATGTCTGAAAGTCAAACACTCCAGTATCAAGAAATGCCAGAATTAAAATTCCTTGACTAAGCATGATTTGGCTCCCTTGTACACRTATTTTTACATAGCTTTTAATTATGAAGTCACAACTGTAAATTTTTCTTTTTTTGTGACCATTTCCCTAATATCTGTACCACMTAGGCTATTTTAGAGACGAAGTTTTGGCAGTTGAGAGAGGCTGCAATACTGGATCCTACTCCATGTATTGCAACAGTCAGAAAAACTTAATAATAAATAATAATAAATATATATAATAAATGTAAAATTAAATACTTCATTTCTGATCTGAAAACATGTAGAACAAGGATATGAAAGGTTAAATACAGAACTCTGCACRTAAGATCTCTAAGCACAGTGGTGATTTTGTGTACGTAGATCACAAAATGGAGTTAAAGTGTGGTTCCTCATTATTCATTCTAGAGGTCTGAGCCACTGTTTTTAGGAAAAAAAAAAAAAAGAGAGTTTCTATTTGCATTCAAATCATATTACCTCCTTTCCTATATTGCCCTGTATTGCAACAGAGGGAACATGAAARAATAAGAAAGATTAAAAAATGAACTTATTTGAAATTGAAATTGTTAMATTTGATACAAAGAACTGAATGTACTGTAGTTATTAAAATGTAAACTGAAGGAAAGTATGTAATCAGGTTGTTTTCTGCCASAAGTTTGAAGGGAAATCAAATGTTTCTGAACACATTCTCTCCCACCCAGTGCAAATAACTGGAAATATAAGATAATTTGATCTCACAAATTCACAGACTTATGCTGGAAGAGCCCTCTCAAGGTCACTTAATCCAGTCTCCTGCTCAGAGCATCACCAACTTAAAAGTTCTCTCAGGCTGCCCAGAGTTTTAGCCAGTCAAGTTTTAGAAGTCTTCAAGGATGGAAGATTCACAACTTTTCTCTTTCTTAACCATTCTCGTTGTGAAAATTTTCTCCTGATGYGCAGTTGAACTTTCCATTTCTGCAGTCTGTGACATTGCCTCTTGTTCATTCAATATGTGCCCCTGAGATGCTCCACCTTTTCTAACATTCCCTTTAGGTTTTTAAATGAGCTTGAATACTTTGGTTTTCTAAATGTTCTTTCTGT